CCTATTATCCTAATTAAAATTGTATTGCATTTAATCATTCGTAAATAAGCAATTCAACTAATGTTTAAATATATTAGCAAATTAAAAGATCAATGAGACTAAATATTTATTTGTATTTTACATAGTAACATAAGTAATGTGATTTTATTTTTTTGAGAGAACTTATGAAAATAAATTATGACATTACTCATAATATTTTTTTTTCAACTTATTTTCATAAGTTCTTCAAGATAACTAAGTTTTATTTTTATATTTAAATTCAAAGTATAAAATACAATATAATAATAATAATAACAATAATAAAATTATTCATATTTATTTAATCAGGTCAACTTGATAGACTTAAAAAGTTTTTTTATGGCATGTGGCTTTATCTTCTTATTTAAATACGCTTATAAAATGGTCTATATTTTTTTTATTTAAAAAAAACTGGCTTGATCTGGGCTTAAGCTTGTGTAGGCTAGATCGTAGGCTCCTCCTAGATGTCATGTTTTATCCCCTCCTAATTTTGTCCCCAAAATTTTTTTCTTTAAAGTTTCCACTATATCAGGTGTGAGTTTTTCACAGGTTTTACCTACAAACCTTCTTACAACCAAATAAGAGACTTTACACTAGCTAATCTCCAAATCAAAACAAGAGATTTTACATCAAACGTATCTAAGAACAAAATATAGATTTTACATCAAGCGAATCTAAGAACAAAATATAGATTTTACACAAGGTTAAGCTCAATAACCAAACAAAAAAATTTCCAACTAAATTCGATAACCAAATGCAAGCTTTTGACAAGCTTAGCTCACAAACCTAAACATAGATTTTACTTGGCTAGTCTTGATAAGCAAAAAGAGTTTTTAACAGGTTTAGCTCAAGAATCAAACAACGAATTCTTATAAAGATATTACACAAAAGATAAGCCCCCCATGAGTAAAATACAATAGTAGCATAGTAGCATCACACAAAAGTTCTCACAAAAGATATTTTTCACTCTCAAAGTACTAAGGCAATTTTGTAAAGAAATAAAAAGAATGAAGTTATGAGAGTAGAAAGCTAGAAAGTATGATTGAAATATATTTTATGGGGTACTTTAAAATGAAGAAAAATTTATAGAATAAAAGTTTGGCTTAAAAAGAAAAAAAGATCCATGGGCCTTTTAATGGCCTAATGGATTAAAAACTAAGGCTAATTGATTAGAAGCTTTAAAGCGAAGACAACCCTAACTCCAAAATCAAAACACTCCAACAATTATGTGATCTAATCGATTATGAGTATTTACAATCAATTAATGATCCTTTTTAATTGCTCTAATCGATTGTATTTGGTCCCTAACTGATTAGGTCGTGTACAAATGCCTCTTAAATGTTTAGTAATACCCTTGGTCAATTCTACATGGACCTTGATAGTTCTTTCATTGGTTTTAAGGAATTTTAGAGAATTTAGAGAGGTTTAAAAATTGCAGGTGAGTGTGTGAGTTGCCTTAGTAATTCGAGAATTACTCTTGTACCTTTACAATACATTAATCACTTGGACACGGAGAAGGAGAGCTTTCACACTTCCTCTCTTTCACAACCTTGAAGTTTTAAAATCTCTTGATTGATTCATCGGATATTCAACACTTTATTTGGGACATGATTATTCAAAATTATATGGTTTGACATAGCTTCTTTTTATATGTCCAATCATCAGAGGTTGCTTAATAGGATATCATTAGAGAGTTCACTGAATGTCGCTTGACCTTAGGTGTTGTCTTTGGCTTTACATCTTCATCTCACTAATAGGACATCTTGATCTTGATAAGTCATATTTATAAATACATATTTTTCACAAATGAAGATTTCACAACATGTCATTTGATATATAGTGTTGTCACCATCAAAATTATCATAAAAATCTAGCGATTGAAGATAGTCGTACTTACAAGCACACAGATCCACACTTATTTGTGATTTTCTTCAAGTCTGCGAAGGTGGTTTGTATGTATCCTATGTGTACATGTTTTTGTAATTTTCTTGTTGTTATTAAGATATTTTTTATTATTGAAGTGGCTTTAATTGGCTTGTGTCCATGTTGTCATAATAATTTTTTGTTAAGTGGGAGCCTAGTTTTATTTGGGGTTCTAGTTTTTGGTCCATATTTTACTTGAATTTGATATATTATTTGCACATCTTGGTGTTTAGTTTAGACATTTTTTAATATATTATTTTGCTTTTTTTAAAATCTACAATAATCCACAGAAATGCAAGGATATTCTGATAAGTTTAAGCAAAATTCTTTTTGTGAGTTATGTGCAGGTGACCACCCATTTAGATATTGTCTTCCAGGCGAGGAAGACCTAAATTATTGGAATAATCAAAGGTAGAATCTATACTAAGGATGCACCAACAATTTCTAAGGACGAAAATCCAACCACATTTTATTTTCCAAGCAATTTTTAATTTTGTGTTTCAAATTTTGCATGCGTAGTAGCAACATATTTTCGCATACACAAAGTTACAAACTGTCTATAATTTGCTTGATGAGTTTTTCACTCGCCCTGAAAATTTAGCCTGAAAATGTCCCCGCCCAAAAAACATGTTGCAAAATGGTTTTATTTAAAACATCACTAAGTCATTTTATTTGAAACACATGTTTCCCCCTACGAAGAAAATTGCATCTAACATCCTAAAACTTGAAAATTAATCATAATCAAAGAAGTAGCATAGGAATAATTCTCTTACCTTTGATTCATAAGTTGGATTTGATTCAAGTGCATACAACTCCATCTCATTCTCATTTCAAGTTAAGGTATGAACAACTACTTCTCTCATTCTTTTCAAATTCTGAAAGTAAGATTTGTGAGATTGTTTTAATACATGTTTAGATTATAAGATAGTGTAGGGCTTTTTTCTTCTTTGGATGCAAAAATTAAAAAATAAAATAGTTAATTGCAAATTTTAGAGCTTAACTCTAAACTTGCATGCCTAATGTTTAGCAGATTGTCTTAACAATGTTAAGACTAATTTTTGGATTTTAAGTGGCTGAATTAAGTGATGATGGAAAGTAAAAGTGGTATACCATTCTTAACCATAATATTTTTTTTTACAGATGTTCCTATATTCAAAATGAGTTGTTATGTTATGTATTCATATCACTAGAGTAAATTTGTGATATAAAACATAACGGAAAAAATTTCTTAACTGATTTTTACCATGACCAATAATAAATTAGTGTTAACCTCTTATAACAATTAATTATTGATGCATAATCCAAATAAAGGTCAGTATTATTGAACGAAGAACAATATCTCTACTTAGTCAACACAAACAAAATGTATTTAATATTAGTTCTAGCACTAAGAATGAAGATTTTGTGTGTGTGTGTGTGTGAGAGAGAGAGTTTTACAAATCAAATATGGTCAAGCTATAAATACTTTAGCACAAGGATTCTATTTATAGAACAATTGTGAGGACTACAAACTAAACTAGCCCATTAAACACATTGTACCTCATGGTGTAATATATTTCACTAAAGTGCATTATATCATACGGTGTTTCATATTTTACTTAATTAAATTATACCTAAAGGTACTCTTTATTGCACTTAAGTACATCGTACCTTAAGGTGTACTGATTTTCTCTAACTAATGTTAGTGCATTGTAAGATCACACAATCGAATAAGCTTCACTTATTTATTTTCTCACATCAATATATCCTTATGTGTGTGACTCTGTACGTTCTCGTGACATTTATATCAAATCACACATTTGATATAACAAATAGGAAAGAGTATCTAGCAACACATCATTGGTATCTAAGTCACGAAAATGTCATGTGATTTGGCAAAACATTTTTGTGATAACATTTATGTGTATGATTAATCTTTTCTCTCATGTCTATATTGAACATAAAACATAGACCATGTCACCCTTGTCCAATTCAATATTGAGCCCTTAATCATTTATTTTATTATGCATGATGGACAAATTTCATATAGGCGAGTCATGCCCTTAACATGATTTGTAGAATACTTATCAACAACCTCTATGTTAATCTTGTTATAGATAATGTTTGATCGACAATAAAACACTTGAATTCGCATCTAGAGTCTATAGGAGTTTCAGGTCAAATGGTGGTATATCACTATCATCTCGAGAATAATTTATAACATTTACATAATATTTTATGCATTATTTTCATAGTGGATCAATCTACTATAACTATTATTCTTAATATTTATATTTATGTGAAGACTTTCAACATGAAAGAGAGAATGATAAAGAAGTACAATCTTTTTTATTTTATTTAAAATGATGAAAACTTTAAACATGAAATTAGATTTGCATCCTAGATGATGAAGGTCATTTCATTCTAATCATGCTTTTAAAGTAAAAACTAAATTAAAGTGGATGTGAATAAGCTTACAATTCTAAACAATTATAGGAGGAAGTCTTGCATGGACACAATTTAGACGGCACGCTCTAAAAAAATTTAAATAATGTATATTTTTATAATATTTAAATGATAGTTAATTTTGTGTGTGCACCCAAATGATGATTTGTTAGGGTTGTGACGAAACTTATTTCTCCAGTCATGGACTCCTTGTTTTATTGCGGTCCTAAGTTATATATAATATTTTATTTACAATTTAAAAAGTTTTTATTTAATTAAATAATTAAAGAATTTAAGTATTTATGATATTAAGTTTTGATATAAAATATTTTTTCTAATTTTACTCTTTATTATTTTATCCTTTTTTAACAATGTAATAAGTTTTTAAATAATTGAATAGTTTTTCACAACAACTTCTCCTTTATGGATAAAAATAAAAAGACAAACATATGTTCGCTAGCTCTTTAAATAATGACAATACTTTTAAGCACAAAGATACAAAATACAAAATATATAATTTCACATGATGCCACTAAATATACAATTAGTGACACCTTCTAGATAATAGTGATACTTTTGTCTCTTCTTTTCTTGTGGTTACTAATCGCACCCTCCAACTGTTTGGAGTGCAGAAATCAATATGGACTCAGATGACTAATATCAGCCCACGATTTTACAACCCATTTGTCATCACCATACAACTGAAAAACAGTTACAGATGCATTGCGTATATTCCCCGCATACTTTCCATCTGCACCTGCCCATTTGTAGAGTACTTCGATCGATGCTCCATGAGAAACAACAACAACACGTTCTCCTATATGTTTTCTGCCTATTCTCAGCACTGCAGATTTGCAACGTTCATACAGTTGATCAAGACTTTCTCCACCGCCCTACACAGGTATATTACATTATGCATCCATCACAATTCTCAAATAATATTGTTTTCGCTAACTACTTACCGGAATTTCTTGATTTTCGTTCCTGGATTTCAAAATGTTGTAACCTATGGGATTAGTTTTTTCTGATTCACTGAAAACAAGTCCTTGCATATTCCCCATGTGTCTTTCTCGCAGATCCAAATCCTTCACAACCTCTAGAACTCCGCATCTGGATGCAATTGTTTGTGCTGTTTCTAAAGCTCTTTTCAAATCAGATGAATATACAGCCGAGATCTTCGGTTCCCTCGATAGTCTATCAGCAACCTGAATTGTAAAATTTAAAGCAGTTATGTTAATGAAATTTTACACCGCAATTTTACATGGTCAGTTCATAACAATCTAAGTACTTACAGCATCTGCTTGCTGTTTTCCCACTTCATTCAATTCAATATCCACCTGTCCCTGTTTATAGTATATAAAATGGGATAACATAATCTAGAACAAAACTTTAAAAACAAAAAATGAATAAAATATTTTTACATAAGAAACAAATACATAGATAACCTATTTTCATGTTAATTGATTTATATTATGAAGCAATTTTTAAAAAATAAAATAAAAAACTGTACCTGGCATTTTCCTTCAAAATTCCAAATTGTTTGACCATGACGCACCACAACAATCTCAGCAAAATCTGTATCGGAATAGCTATAACCAACATCATCTTTCAATTAGTTTCATGACTAAGAAATTCAGATTCACAAAAGCAAAAGAAAAACTTATTGCAAAATATATAAATATATGAAGAACACAAATGAAAAGTTCATGAAAGTTGTGAAAGAGAAGAAACCTGGAAAGAGAATCGGTGACGGAAGACTCAGCCATATTCTGAGTGAACTGTTGGAATGACGAGTTGAACTAAGGATGGTAAAGAAAACAATGTTGGAGAAGCCTAAGAGGAAGAAGAATATATATAAAAGTTTTGACCTTTAATATTAATGTTGTTGTTTCATCTTCATTTCCTTGTTGCTTCCCTTTCTTTCATTTCCTTGTTTCATCTTCATTTTACTCCTATAGTTTATATTTTGTAGGTTGACATTTTTGTCGGAAACTTAATCATATACCTATAGTCCAATAAAATAATAAGTAATAATGTAGGTGAATACTAAAATGGTTGTTAGGAATTTAAAAAGTGGGGTGGATGTTATACATTTCTTGGGAAATGATAGTTGTTACGAATTTAAAAAATAAAATACTAAATGAGTGCTCAAATAAGTTTAGTTGTTGATTTTTTAATTGTTTTTTCTTTTATTGTTTTTTATTTATTTTTTAATTGTTTTTTCCTTTATTGTTTTTTATTTATTACTCCCTCGTTTTTTTTAATATTTCGCCTATATGAGTTGTTTTACGACTAAGAAATCATTAATGTTATTTTTTTTATTGTAATTTTAAGTATTTATTATATTATATTTTTTTATTGTTTAAATTTAATTTTTCTATATCATAAAGGACAATTATGTAAAATTATTTATTATTTCTCTTTTTCATACAATAATAATCATATTTTTAATACGTGTGAAAAGTTTAAAACAACATAAAATTGAGAGTAATTAGCAAGTTGTCAAACTCTACCATATTAATTGTCGTGATGCCGATAATGAGTTTTTAAATTTATTTTGTGGTTGGAGCAAGGGATAAATGAGTGAGAAAATTCCCGTTAATGAAAGATGAATTTTATACATTATTTGATTACATTGTTTACTAATATAGAAAGACCTTATTCTTCAAGTGGTTATGATGATGACGACAGTGATGAATTCCTCAATGTTATCGGCTGAATCTAGAAGTGGGGAGTATACTATTAATACTATGACGATCAAGTTCAATAGAGGTCTTGAGTACAAGGTTTTGTGAAACTATGTGCTTGCAGGTTTAATCAGAAAGTGATCAAAACTAATCAAGGCATGCCTAGACCGATCATGGTTTTTATAATGACAACTTATGAAGATGTAACCTGAATTTGATAACAACTAACGAAGATGTAACACGACCTTGATGACAACAACACACAAAAACATGCAAGTAATAAAATTGTTTCAAGTGCTAAAAGATGCACAAGATAGTTTGATCAAGTTCTTCCCCGAATAAAGTCGAAGAGTTAGGGTTTAATGATCGTTGTAATATTCTATGGTGTTGGCGTTCAAATTATAGATATCTCAAGTCTTATCTCCAAGAAGATTCAAGTGAAATGCTTATGTGATTGGTGTATTCGTCAAAAGACTTGAAGCATCAGAGTATGAAAGAAAAGAATTGTTAAAGCTCGTCTGGTTGTGTCCGAGTGATCAGTATTTTGTACAAACACAAGGGTATTTTTTATTAAGTAATATAAATCACACACTCAGTAAAACTATTTTTAAAGCCTTTATTACTCAAATAAAATAACTTAAAATTTTTTAGAATGTAGGCAAATGAGTTAGAAACTGTCAGAATGATTAGGACATGTTTTTGAATTGTCTAATTGATTGAACCAAATATCTAATTTATTAGTTAAAGGAAATAGGTCTATAATTGATTGTTATATTGTCTTAATGAACATTAACAACTCTTTATCATATCTTTCTAAAATAAGCATAAATAATTGATTATTTAGGACATCTAATCGATTATATTAAATACTTAATCAATTTGACAATTAAAATTTCTCATGGATCATTTTATATTTTGCACTAACCATCAGCCTATAAATAGAGATCTTCCCCCTTCACTTTTTGACATCCAGAAACGTGTGATTTCTCACCTTCCTTACACTCACTCTCATTATAAAATGTTTTTTCTCTCACTCACATAAATTTGGTCTAATGATTTGAGAAAAGTTCTTGTGTTTAAGTGAGGAAATTATTTTAGAAAAGGTAACATTTTAAATTCACCAAGAGCTATTTTTCTTCTTGAGTGAATCTTTCTTCCTTAGGAAGTGTTTATTTGGGATTGAGGGTAAACTCATTGGTCGAACTGCAGAAAAGCGGCAAGAAGCAAAAATTTAGTTTTAGAAGGATTACATCTGGCATTTATATCGTCTCCACAAGGTTTGGTGCAAGGAAAAGAACGTCCTTCAAGGGTCTCTACATTTCTAAGCTTGTTGTAAAAATTTGTTAATAGATCAACGGTACCAAAAATAAAGGCAGAAAGTATACAGACGGAAAATATAAAGTAAAGACTTAAAATTATAAACGGAGCCTTGTTGGGATTGGATCTCATCTACTGATAACACGTGCATTCTTCTAACCAATTAAACATAAATAAATCATTCGTCTGATATCCTCATGTATCACCCACAATAGAAGTTATGTCTAACGCAACATCGAGAGAACAACTGTATTGTCTCGTTGGTGATGTCTCGCACAACTTAACAACACAGAGCGTTAAGAATTGATGATCAAGTAAATGTTAAGCCTAAATCTATTTCTACAGTTTAGAACATAAAAGATAATCATCATAGATCCAAATCTGAAGAGTATATTTCTATAACGGTTTAAATCAAAGATAAACAGGTAAACAAAGATGAAATCCATATCTGCTTAATGTTTGATTCGTATAAAACACCATGATCAGAATATGTACATACGCTTAACCCTTTTTATATGCATTCAACTAAATTGACAAATTTAAGTGAACATAGTTCTTCATCTCTATTATCACGCATCCTCACAATACCGTATTGATCCTACTCATGATACTCATGTTACTAATCAACAGAATAAAATCGAAGATACAAGTAAATATCAACTTACAAGACTGTGCCAAAAGTTTTTTTATTGATAGATGAATATATAAGATCTAAGATTTGAAAAGGTTTTATCAAGACTAACAAATAAGAAATCAAAAACAACATCAATATTGAATCAAAACAATTTTACAATACATATATTATATGAAGTACATAAGGTATCAAAAGATTACATCCAAACCCAACAAGAAATCGAAACTCTTACCCTCTCCCTCTTAGGATTTGTGTTTCTCTCTCTAGAATATGCAAAGAAAATAAAGAGAGATAAAGTTCTGATTTGAAAATTACAAGTTATAAAAGTTCTACCAAAGTTTTGTTTCTAAAAAGTGAGAAAAATACGTATATAGTATTTACAAAATTTGTCATGTTCACCTAGTGAACATCTTCTTTGCCCAGCAAAAACTACATTTAGGCACTTCAAGTGCCTCAGGAACGGTTAAACTTCCCTTGGAAAATACTTGAGTTCGTAATGCGAGCGCTTCTTCACACAACGAAATGCTTCGCTACAGCTTCGCCCAACGAATTTTGGACCCTTTTTCCTACTGCCTCTAATCTGGGATGGTTCGCTGGGGCTTTGCCAAGATCTCGCATAGTGAGTATTCGCTTTCACCTCGATGGTGTTCACACAGCGAACATGTCGATTTCTCCTTATTTCTTTGGCTTCCTTGTCCAATCCTTTGTGTTTTAATTATTGATGTTTTATACCTAAATCCTGCACAATAACACACACGTTAAAGAAACCAAAGCTATTTGCAATATGTTGAAGAATCACACAAGAATAAGAAATAAATCTTTTAAAACATGATAAATGAGTTGAAAAATACCAAGAAAGATGGTTCATTTTAAGTTAAAATTTGAACTTAACAAACTCTCTCCAACTAGATTTTTGCTTGTCCTCAAGCAAAGTATGCCCTCATGAAAACAAAAGAGATTTGATCAAACAAGAGGATTTTCTCAAGCATAAAATTCAACCAAGAAAGGGATAACATTTCAAAATCAAACAAGAGAGATTTGTTCCAAAAAAAAGATTTGGTCAAGCATGAGAATGCGCAAAGCAATATTCACCGCTCAATAGAATCGAACAATGACAAGGAATTTAGTTCTTAAACAATATCATGCAATGTTTCAAATAACAACTAAATTCTCGTACTTGAATGACTCTAACGCTCCTCTTCAGAATAAGAATGAAGAAATTAACGCGTTTTCAACTGCGGGGCAATTTCACTCACCTGACAAACAATGCTAATAACGATCCAATTCATACATTCATCTAATCAATCAAAAATAAAATCATGGAAGCAAAAAAGATCATTAAGGGCTTTTAAGGTTGTAGCTTGGTCAGGTTCACAATAAAGGGTCATTTCTTTAGGGTATTGAATCGAAATTGCCACGCAAAAGAAACATTCACTATACATGGTATTTACACATCACAACTTAATTCACCAATTTCTTTTCTCTATTGCTCAACCTTTCCAAACTTCATTTGCATAATTATTTCATTCTCTATTTTTCTTTTTCAAACAAGCATTCTTTTTCTTTTGTTTTTAACATTCATATTCACACTTTTTCTTTTTCAGGCTTGCTTGAAAATTTTCAAAATTTTTAGTAGTCTACCACTTTTCTTTTCATTCTCCCCAACTCGAATTCATCCAAACCTCAAGTGAATACTCCTTACTTTTTATGGCAAGGAAAACAATTTAAAACATTGTCCAAAGGTTTAAGAAAATTTTTTAGAATCTCACAAAATTCAATGATGAACGAAACTTCAAATTATGTACATAAAAAAGTTCATCACTAAAATTAGATTTAAACTGTTTAGGCTCAAATGGGTTAACAAATTCTCTCTACTCACGGGTAAGTTACTTTTGAATATGGTTGTGCTTAATATAAACAAATTCTTTGATCATTTATAATGCTTCCACAAAATCACAATAATAAAAAGATTAAGCATGAATCAAATGAATTAAACAAAGTTATATGTCATTCTAAAATATAGTAAACAATGAAGGTTTCTCATAATTTGTGGCTTTTGGACCTAACTGAAACAAGCATTCAAACAAGTTGCAACATGAAACAAGAAAACACATTTGCACAAAGCACA